GACTCGGTACCTCTGTAAAGAGGTGACTTGGTTACCACTGTGTCTTGATAACTAGTTAATCATGACGACTGCCAGGTTACCTCACCTGGTACGACGGTACCTCACGCCTGGCCTGCGTGAGGTACCGTCATCCAAGCAGGAAGAGCCCTTGGTACACCCGGATACCTAAATAGGCTCTTGACGTCGGGTCTAATTAAGTATGAGAAGATGGAAGCCCTGACAGGTACTTAATGTTGGGGCGGTCCTCTTAGCTCCCATGTCTGGCTTTGGCTCGACCTCTGTCTTCACTGGAGCGTATCAAGCACGTACTCTGAGATACCGAGGCTGGGGAGTTTAGACTGGGCAAGTTCCGGATGCGGTGTGTTGTGGTGGTGGTGGTGGTGGAGGGGATGTACTGTGGTGGCGTGCACTGGTGTCCCAGTCCACGTAAGGAATGTTGACATCAGAGACTTCCTCGCTAGGGTGTGGCGCCTCCAGATGTCTGCATTGTGGAGCACCTCACAACACATGTTGTGAGGTGCTCCACAACATTTAGTGGCACCACTAAATGTTAGCTTTTTCATAGTTCATTTATTATGCGCCCTATACCTATCCTGTAGGCGGTAGTGGAAAAGGTTAGAGGTACATTATGGGCTCAGGAACTGAACCCCCAAATTCATTTGGCTATGCAAGTTGCAGTCTTGATGAGCTAGGTACATGGTTGAATGTAGAAGTTTAAAAACTGGACCACAACAGTCTTTTAAGATAAGCAATTTACATTTGGGATGAGCAAGTTAAACATAATTGTATTTGCTTATTGTGCACCCCTGACCCATCCAGAGGGCGGCGGGGGGAAAGTTTACAATCGCCTTCATACTCTACCTACAGTAAGCAGACTTTTTGCTTACTGTATTGTGGCTAAGACTTCTGGTAGTGTATCATATTGAATCAAGTACTTAAACATTTATCGGAAACTTTATTTTATAGCTCTCTCAATTCTTTTATTTTTCACATTCAATTGCATCGTGACGCAGGGTACGTAAATAGTCCCGGTGACAGTTACATTTAGTCAGATCTGTCTCAGCAGTTGGTGCCAACTGCCAGAGGTACTTGTAGCAGAGCCTGAGTATTACCGTCAGGAAGTCAGCTGACTGACGGAGCCGGTCGGCCGAGCGGACAGCACGCGGGACTTGTGATCCTGTGGTCCTGGGTTCGATCCCAGGCGCCGGCGAGAAACATTGGGCAGAGTTTCTTTCACCCTATGCCCCTGTTACCTAGCAGTAAATAGGTACCTGGGTGTTAGTCAGCTGTCACGGGCTGCTTCCTGGGGGTGGAGGCCTGGTCGAAGACCGGGCCGCGGGGACACTAAAGCCCCGAAATCATCTCAAGATAATCTCAAGAAAGAAAACCTTATTGGATGACTTTTGGGTTTGTGGTTCATCCTGTCTAATAGCATGATGATAGATGGAATAACTAGTGTGAATTTCACTTTTGTCTCGGGTCTACTAAATTTAGTTGCAGTTCTCGGTATATTACTGCCCCTCGGGGTTATCTTGAGGTTATCTTGAGATGATTTCGGGGCTTTAGTGTCCCCGCGGCCCAGTCCTTGACCAGGCCTCCACTCCCAGGAAGCAGCCCGTGACAGCTGACTAACACCCAGGTACCTATTTAACTGCTAGGTAATTGGGGCATAGGGTGAAAGAAACTCTGCCCATTGTTTCTCGCCGGCGCCTGGGATCGAACCCTGGACCACAGGATCACAATTCCAGCGTGCTGTCCGCTCGGCCGACCGGCTCCCGTGGTGCTCAAAAGCAATGCAAGGTTGCACTCAACCCCTCTCTAAGAGCCCGTGCTTTGGCTAGCTCATCACTTACGTCATTCTCAATGTTAGTGAAGGAAACATTAGGGTGAACATGATGCGGGTGTTGTGACGGGGACATGATGTCATGCCGGTGCTTGCCGTCACCATATCCGGGGTAAGTGGAAGATGGTCGTACTCCAGGGTGGTCTCGGGTCGTCACTACACACGTCACGTCCACACACCGCTTTCTGCCCCGGAATATCAATGTTGTTGGCGGCGTCTAAGGCAGAAGACACTGCAGTAACGACCTTTAACCTTTGTGCACATTCCTGTATATTTCCGTAGTACAAGGAAGTACTAAATTATGGCCAGCGATACTTACACCGAATCTGTCGTTGTGGTTCGTGAAAGGACGGGCCCAGGTCTTCTGCTTGACGATCTCATCGATCAGACTATTAGTTGCTGTAGCTTTCAGTCGAACGGAGGAACCACGTCCAGTTGATCGGGACCAAGTTATGACAAGTCGAGGCCAGGCTCGGGGAGTAGAACAACTCCAGAAACCCTCTCCAGGTATGTTCCAGGTGTTTATCAAGATCCACCTGGGACACAGAGGTCTGTTACAAACTCTTCTTTTATTTAGAGGGCTGGTGCTGACATCTTGGACCCGCAATCTTTATTGAACTGTCACTTTAAGTACTTAAGTACTCTAAGTACCTAGGGGTCACTTAAAGCCGCCAGACTTTTCAATGGGGCTGTTTTATACATTCTGGCATGTTTTGAAAGGAATAGATTTAATGTGTAGGGGTTTTGCACACTGTTCAGAATGTTAACTAGTCGCTTTATTTAATATGCAACCAATGTGCCTACAGATATACCTCTGTAAAATGTTAGGTAAATTTTATGAAATTATTATTATTTATTTATTATTATTATTATTATTATTATTATTATTATTATTATGTATTTCTCGTCAGTATTCAAGGAAATTTGAGGGATTTTAAACGTTTCCATTAATCTGTGTGTGTTAATGAAGAGAGGGGAGGGATAATGCTCCCTGCACGCTCTCGGGGTCTCCACCTCTCCAGCCTTGAGTGGAACAGGTAACATGTATCAGTATTCCAGCCAAGGTAGTCTCTTAATGTTAATTCCCATCGTTGCTTTGGCATCTCTTTATTTTAATGGTTCTTGTTATCCAGCCTAACGTTCGGTTGTTGTTGTTATAGATTCAGCTACTCGGAACAAGTTCCAAGTAGCACAGGCTATAGTGAGCCCGTAACTTACCTGGCACCGGAGCGGGGCAAGAAGCACAGGTTATGGTTAGCCTCTGTGTAACATTCGGTGGTGTTGTTGCGGTGTTTGGTTTTGTGTTCTTGAAATATACCGTGTTCTGACGTGGTTACTGCCGGGAGTTTGGTGTCATCGTATAGTGTGGTATGACTGCAGTTTTTGGTACTGAAGTTTTCATTTCTTAGGTTTCTCCTTAGCGTAGAAGCTGGACTGTTTCTTCATTGAAGTTTATATTGTTTTCTGTGATCCCTGAGAAGATTTAGTTTACATTAGATTCAAAGTTTGTTGTGTTCTCTGTAGTTTCTACTCTCATGAAGGTTATTGTGTTGTCTGTATAGGATGACACGGTACTGTTGTTTGTAGTTAAGTACAGAAGTAAGTACTGGAGCAAGCACAGTACCCTGGGACACTGTGCTCTTCACCGTGGAGAATCCAACTTTTACTTTTGTTGACTCTTAGGAAGTTAACAATTTCCAATATTATAATTATGCCAGTTTTATCCTTTCTTCGTTGTCCAGTGTGTCGGGGCCGGTCTCGGGGAGGCGGAGAACTCTGGGAACCCTCTCCAGGTGTGCTCCAGGTGTCTAATATTACTCCAAGGTCACATTTGTTGAAGGATTTCACGAAGTGTGTATATACTACATGAAGTATTTATTGCCGTCCGTTCCCTCCATCCGATTCTTGCAGTTCTGCGTTCGATCCCCACTATTCCAAATGATTGGGCAACGTTCCTTCACCCCCCCCCATCCTCCTCTCCCAGCTCCTGTTCTCCTATCCCAGATGTACAGGAAGTTCATAGTGGCCTAGCGCTTTCCCCTGCCTGGCGAGGGGTGCCAGACCGTGCCGTGGTGCAGTAGTGTGTAGGAGGTTCTACTCCCATGGTGGCCAAGGCTCGTGTTGTCTCTCCGTGGCTTGTGCTCCAAGTACTCCTTACTACTCTTTGAAAGAATTTACGTTGAAGGGCCATCATGTGATGACCGCCACCATCGTTGCCGCCCCTTATGTAAGACTTGTACCTGCCTCCCGCCCCACCCCTCATTTGTTTACAACCCGTTCTCTCAACCAATTGATCGCGTTTTTTACGCTGTGGTTACCAGCGTTAAAAAATAAAACCTTACTATGAGAAAGTGATCGATGGGCTCACAAACATCCGCGTTTTCTATGCATGGGACTCGATCCGTTAGGTGGATTACTCGGATTAGTACGTTCCTGTTTAGGCAAAATAATTGGATTTTTTTTTTTTTTTTTTTTGCGGAATGGCAAATGCAGAGATTGGGTTGTTTTGAGAGTGGTGCGCGCGCATGACTGGACTACCCGCACGCTGCGCCATCCGTGCGTCGACTTGGACATCAGGAGATACAGGGTTTCTGATAACCTTCCTCTCCATACATGCATTATTATGGGGATAATTCTCAATCCTGATTTATAAATGTGTTTCTATCGGTTCATGGACTGGTAGGTACAGAGCAAAGGCTTTGTATCATTGTTAGACTGTGTGGATATTGTTTACTCATGAATTCTCTGTATCAGGACCAAATGTATATATTTGTACAAATACAAATTATTTATTATTATTATTATTATTATTATTACAAGGTCAGGGTTCGATCCCCGAAGATCTACGTGACTGGGATACAAGGACCGGGATGTATCCCGTCCTTGTATCCGTTTTAAGTGCTCTGTAGCCCAACTGGCTTAGCGCTTTCTTCTGATAATTACCTTACAACTATGTATCTTGCACAGGATGGGTAAAATACTGCACATTTGTATTCATAGAATCAGCTGCTGCTCCTCGAGTGGAGGAGTAGGCTGCTGCTCCTCGAGTGGAGGAGTAGGCTGCTGCTCCTCGAGTGGAGGAGTAGGCTGCTGCTCCTCGAGTGTTACTCCCAATGAGTAAGGAGGTCACTAACCAGGTTCTCTCTCCCTCCCTCAGACCTACTACGGCCACGGTGACTATATCATACGACAGGGAGCCAGAGGCGACACATTCTTCATTATCAGCAAAGGCAGGGTGAGTATGAGGCCAGGGTGAGGGGCACCGCCAGGGTGAGTATGAGGTTAGGGTGATAATGGGGCAGGTGAAGAGAGGGCACAAGGGTGCCACAAGTGTCAGGATGGAGAGGGGGGGGGGTCAGCCAGGATGGACCAATATTTAAAAGTCCTCCTGTAAAGATACAAAAGTCAAGTATGTTACTTGTACACCTGGTCTAATTATGAACAGGTATATAGGGCCACTTGTATAATACTAAACAGGTATATAGGTCCACGTGTATAATACTAAACAGATATATAGAGCCACGTGTATAATACTAAACAGGTATATAGAGCCACGTGTATAATACTGAACATTAAAGTTATTGTTACCATGTTGTGCAGCCCATCCTCATGGTTAGATAATATTTTTTGTAATTACGTGCTAAAAAAAAGTTAAATATTCCTAGGCCTAGTGTAGTACACACGTTGTATATTAGGCCTAGGAAGATTAGGTTAGGTTTAGTTTGTCTTTGCATCATAAATATAAAATCTTTTTCCGGTTTGTCCAAATTCAATAGCACCAAATTCCTAATTTCTAGTTGCGTTGTATGTCTCTATATGTACTATAGTCCTCATTGTTACTATAAGTACTACTAAAACGGGGAGGATGGGGTGTATTGTGCATATTTAGGTGTAGATTAGATTAAGTGTTTAGATTCTGTTGGCAATTATTTGTATTTGAAGTACGTGGGTGAAGCATTTCCAGCAACCTGTCCTCAGACTATGTTCATTCCATCCAGCGGTCGACCCTAAAAATGCATTGATAAATTTTAACATGCTGTTCATTCAAAATATGATTTTTCTCAAATATAAATTAATATTATTATTATGTATTAGCATATTGTGTATATTTAGGCATTGGTTGGGTTAGACGTTTAGGTTCTGTTGGCAATTATTTATATTTGTAGTTCGAGGGTGAAACATTTACAGCGTTGTGGTTAGACCAAAGTTCGTCAATGAAGCATTTGTTCCGGAAGTGTTCGAACAAAATCAGTTGCGAGTTGTGTGTAAACCGTTTTTAATTCATAAACAGGGGGTTTGGCGGGTGCATGGAATCACCTTTGGGTTTTTGTTTGGAGGACGGGCTGTTTACATAGTTGTGATTTGAACAAAAGTCATCAGCTAAGCACTTGTTCGAGAAGTGTTCGAACGTCATCAGTCGAGTTGTGTGTAAACCGTTTTTCATTCTCAAACGGGGTTTGGCAGGTGCATGGAATGGACTTTGGCCTTTGTTTATGAGGCTGCAGCCCGTGAAAAACGGTTTACACACGACTCTCAATTGATTTTGTTAGAATACTTTCAAAACAAGTGCTTCACTGACGAATTTTGTTCAAATCACAACACTGTAAATGCTTCACCCACGTACTACAAATACAAATAATCGCTAACAGAACCTAAACACCTAACCTAACCAATGCCTAAATGTGCACAATATGCTAATACATAATATTGATTTATATTTGAGAAAAATCATATTTTGAATAAACAGCATGTTAAAATTTATGAATGCGTCTTTGGGGTCGACCGCTGGATGGCATGAAGAGTCTGAAGACGGGCTGTAAGAGGATGGAAAGTGAGTATACGTGATGCGGATACCCATATGCCGCCTCAGCAACGTCTCACCAGGTACCTCTGCACTTCTCCAAGGTCGACCCCATTTTCTGAGCTCAACTATGTACCTCATATAGTCCCCATCAAAGATAGTGGTGTGAATCGCTGGCTATACCATAGTCTCTCGCTAGTATACTCAAGTGCGCGTCCTAGCAACTTGCGTCTGCGTGAGGAATAGGTCCTATGAATATCAAAACAGGAGTATAATACACGAAGTTGTTACGAGTAAGGTCTGCATCTTCCAGACGAGCACTCATTAACGTTCCTGGTGTTGCAGGTCCGTGTCACCATGAAGAGTCCGGGCAGTTTGGAGGAAAAATACATACGTAACCTGGAGAAGGGCGAGTTCTTCGGGGAGAAGGCGTTACAAGGGTAAGGCTTCAGGTCGCCAGGTTTAACTTTATCATACTCATTCACGAGTGCTTTGTAATAGTAGTTTTGTTTGCATATTTGTGAGTGTAGTGAAGGTACATTGATGTTTCTATCTCAAGTGTACAAATGTTTTGTAAGACATGTATATTTACACACACACTGTGTATATGCACCCATAATGTGTATATACAAACACCATATACAAACAATTATGTATGCACATTACATATATATATATATATATATATATATATATATGGGTTTCGTATATTCCCTCCTGGTTGTGGTCCTCCAACACCTCTCTTCAAATGCACAGTGAAGTTACGTTAACATGATGTATAAATGAGACAATAGTGTTTTCCCCTACTGATTTTCTCATTGAAACACCACGTTAATGTGACTCCATTGCGCTATTAGAACAGATAATTATGCGAGACACGGTGGTGGTGGAGGCCAAAACCGTCAATTGGTTCAAAGTGTCATGTGACAAAGAGTGCTTTGAAGACGGGACACCACGAGCGTAGCTCTCATCTTGTAACTACACTTAGGTAATTACACTCGTGTATAAAGTATGTGTATAAATCCCCACTGCCACACCCATATACCTCATCCACACCCCTCATACCCCTACTCTCCCCTACCCCTCGTACCACCACCATCCTAACAACTCGCCACTCCCACACCAACCCCCACACTGTACCACCATTCAAAAGGTGACCCCTCTTGTGTCAACACCTGCATCAGAGGAGCGCCAGGATATTTTACAATTCCTAAGTATTGTAGTACAGGTTGATGATAGTGAGTGGTGTCTCAAGGAACATAAAGATGTAGTGCTTTAGAAAAATTGGCGAATAACACAAAATGCGTCAAGTAAAGTAAAAAAAAATTAGATGCGAAAAAATTGCTCAAGTGTTCACAGTGCAGACGACGACATTCAAGATGGCCACCGGCAAGAAGGACAGCAAAACAGAACTAGATTTTGGGGGTTTTAATGAAGAAAGCATTGATATAAGCAGTCAACAAAACAAATTGGCAAAATTAGATGTTATAGTGAACTATCATGTAGAAATAATCGGCAAATTGAAAGAAAGTAATGATCACTTGAGTAGCAAAGTTTTTGGTCTTGAAGGGTTAGTGAAAGACTTATGCAAGGACAAGATTCAATTGGAAACAAATTGCAAAACCATGGAAGAGGAAAATAAACAATTAAAAATAGCTTTGGAAGAAGTTAAAGCAAATTTAAACATAAATGACTACAGTAAGTTAAGTAAGGAAATTCAAAAGGAGAAACGGCTTTTGTCAGAACAGATGGAGGAAGTTACACAGGGAATAGAACAGTGCAAGAAGGATATGCAACTCGCCTATGCACAATTGGCCAAGGAGAAGGAAAAATAGAAGCGGTAAAGGAAGCCAAACACTGCAGCAACCAGGATAAAACAAAGGTTGGAAGTGATAAAGGAACTGGCATCAAACCCGAAATTGGTGCAAAACACAGTTGATCGAAGTAAGTCCCAGATAATTTTTGGTTGCAAAGAAAGAGATATAACATCTAGGTCAGAAAGAGCTGTAGAAGAAGTTGAAGTAGTAGATAAAATTGTTGGGTTAGTAGGTCTTATAACCATAGAGAATATCTGCGACTACAGGAGAATTGACAAGTATGTAAAAGGGAAAGATCGACCTTTGAGGATCACCCTAAACGGTGCCAAACAGATGGAAGAAGTACTAAGGAATGCTAGAAAATTACAAAGCGATGAGGGGAAAGTATGATCGTTAAGACGAGATCCCTCAAAAGAAGACAAAGAATCTGAAACTGAACCTCGTTGAGGCAAAACGTCTAAATGAGAGTAGGAATGAATAAGAAAATTCTATTTTCTATAAAATGATAGGGGTAGGCAGAGCAGTAATGGTACAAAAAGGCAAACCAACGAAATCACTAGAGAAAGGGGTAGTGAAGAATAAGAGAGGGGGAACATGTTCCTGAAAATTGCATACACCAACGTAGCTGGAGTGAGATCAAAGGTGCTTGAGTTAAGTGATGTAATACAGCTGCGGATACCAGACAGTTGCACTCAGAGAAAAAACTTGAAGATGATATTTTAAATGAGGTCATATTCCCAAGGGGCTACTCAGTTTGAAGACAGGACAAAAATTAGGAAAGGTGGTGGCATTGCTGTGCTGGTGAAAGAACACCTAAAGGTAAACGAAATAATGATTGCCAGTCCACGAGAAGTTGATATACTACCAGCACTAGAGATCTGCAATCGGGATGATAGACTAAGGATTATTAGTGCATATAGTCCACCGCAATGCAACACATGGTCAAAGGAAGAACTGGATAATAAATGTGAGGGTCTTGTAACAAAGATGAGAGAGATTATAGCAAGAGCTGATAGTGTTGGTAGTCGACGACTTAAACTTGAAATCCATAGACTGGGAGGCATACGAAGCTAGAACAGAGGATTTTTGGACTTGTAGATTTGTAAACTTCATCCTGGAAACATTCATGTTTCAACATGTTAAACAAGCTATGAGGATGAGGGAAGGGGATGTTCCCTCCAAGCTGGATTTGATATTTACCAGGAAAGAGGAAAGAGATGTTTGACATTCAGTACCTTCCTCCCTTGGGTAAAAGTGACCATGTCTTTTTTGGGAATAAAGTATGCAATGGCTATAATCTGGAAGAAAATGAGGTTAAAGCAGTTGAAAAACCTGATTTCAGGAGAGGTATTATGGGGGACCTCACATTTCTGGAATTTAACTGGAAAGACTTGCTGTTAGGACAAAGTAAATGAGATGCATGTCAAGTTTTGTGAAGTATATGATAAAGGCACAACAAAATTTATACCAAAGCAGAGATGCAGAACTAGGAAACAGGATTGGTTCAACAGAAATTGTGAGAGGGCCAGAGACCACAAGACACAGAAATGGAATCGCTATAAGAGGCCAAATCCTCAAACATACCAGCGATACAAAGATGCGAGAAACAACTACACGGCAGTGAGGAGAGGCAGAAAGACATTTTGAAAAAGAAATTGCAGACAAATGTAAAACAGAATCAGGCCAATTCTATAAATTCATAAACAACAAATTGCAGGTAAAGGATAATATTCAGGAATATTCAGAGGTTGAAAATGGAAAACAGATTCACGAAAAATGACACGGAAATGTGTGAAACATTAAATGAAAAGTTCCAAAGTGCATGTGTGTACAAAACAAAATCTTTAGGGAACCAGACACTAAGAATTCCAGAGAACTACATAGAGCACATAGAGGTGTCTAGAGACAAAGTGGAACAAAATGCTCAAGGAGCTAAGAAAGAACAAAGCAGTTGGTCCAGATGGAGTTTCACCATGGGTTCTGAGAGAATGTGCACCTGAGCTCAGCATTCCACTTCAAATGATTTTTTCAGGCATCCCTGTGTACAAGAGTTGTAACTGATGTGTGGAAAAGGGCTAACATAGTTCCAATCTACAATAGTGGCAGCAGGGAAGACTCCCCTCAATTATAGACCTGTATCATTGACAAGTGTAATAGTCAAAATATTGGAAAACAAAAATTAAAACTAAATGGGTAGAATACCTGAAGAAAATTGATATACTGTATCAGACATACAGTATGGTTTTCGATCTGGAAGATCCTGTGTAACAAATTTACTCAGTTTCTATGATTGAGCCACAGATTTTACTGGAAAGAAATGGTTGGGTTGACTACATCTATCTGGACCTAAAAAAAAGGCTTTTGACAGAGTTCTACATAAGAGGTTGTTCTGGAAACTGGAACATATTGGAGGGGTAACAGGTAATCTTCTAAATTGAATGAAAATTTTCTAAGTGATACAAAAATGAGGGTCGTAATCAGAGGCAATGTATCGGATAGGAGGAATGTCACAAGTGGAGTACCACAGGGTTCAGTTCTTGCACCTGTAATGTTCATTGTCTAAATAAACGATCTACCAGATGGAATACAGAATTATATGAACATGTTTTCTGATGCTAAGATAATAGGGAAGATTAGAAACTTAGATGATTGACATGCCCTTCAAGAAGACCTGGACAAAATAAGTATATGGAGCACCATTTGGCAAATGGAATTTAATGTGAATAAATGCTATGTTATGGAACATGGAATTGGAGAACATAGACCCCCACACAACCTATAAATTATGTGAGAAATCTTTAAAGAATTCTGACAGAGATCTAGGGGTGGTTCTAGATAGAAAACTATCACCTGAGGACCACATAAAGAACGTTGTGCGAGGAGCCTATGCCACACTTTCTAACTTCAGAATTGCTTTTAAATACATGGATGGAGAAATACTAAAGAAATTGTTCACAACTTTTGTTAGACCAAAGCTGGAATATGCAGCGGTTGTATGGTGTCCATATCTTAAGGAGCACATCGACAAACTGGTAAAAGTGCAAAGACATGCCACTAAGTGGCTCCCAGAACTGAAGGACAAGAGCTATGAGGAGAAGTTCGAGGCATTAAATATGCAAAAATTAGAAGGTAAAAGAAAAAAAAGAGGCGATATGATCACTACGTACAAAATAGTAACAGGAATAAATAACGTAGATAGGGAAGAATTCCTGAGACCCGGAACTTCAAGAACAAGAGGTCATAGATTTAAACTAACGAAACAAAGCTGCCGGAGAAATATAAGAAAGTTTACTTTTGTAAACAGAGTGGTAGACGGTTGGAACAAGTTAGGTGAGAAGGTAGAGGAGGCCAAAACAGTCGGTAATTTCAAAGCATTATATGATAAAGAGTGCTGGAAAGATGGGACACCACAAGCGTAGCTCTCATCCTGTAACTACACTTAGGTAATTACCAACCCCTACACTCACTGCTCACACCCTAGTGCTACTCCCCATCAACACTCCTACAGTCAGTCCTAACACCCCTCTTACCACACACCAGTATTTTGTACCATAAAATAAAACATGAAGTTCCACAATATGAACTGTGGCCATGAAAGCTCAGCTTTCATCAGACCATGAAATAAGAACATTGTATTGGTGTATTTTCTTCATCACTTATACTGACTAGATAGACTCATTGTCTTCACACAATTCTTAACATATTCTGTTATTAGTGGTATTTTTTAAAAAGTTTGTGTATATTTAATAATGAGAGTAACTTTTATAGTGCAACAGTTTCATGTTGGTTTATAATTTTTAATGAATAATTTGAATAAAATTTCTCTAGTATACATTTGTACTTATAATCATTAGTGTGTACTGAAACTTGCACCTTTTTTCCTTCCAGAGAAGACATCCGTACAGCTAATATTATTGCTGATGATCCTGATGGTGTGACGTGTTTGGTCATTGACCGCGACTCCTTCAAGCAACTGATTGGTGATCTAGAGGAGATTAAACATTGTTATGGACCAGTTGATCTCTCTAGGAGGAAGTAAGCAAATCTTTTCCTAAACAAAAATTTTTTGTCTCCACCCGACTCTTGTATTGTTATACAATAATAATGCCATTTGCATCAAGCTTATACAATTATTTTGGTTAAATTGTTAAATTATATTTTAACTGTTTATTGCATTATTTGTTAGTTACAAGAGCAACCAAGAAGGTGAAGTTGGCCATTTTAAGTAATTTTACATAATTCTAAATAAGGTACCATCATGGGAGTAAACACTAGTACGGGAACCACGAGGGGAATGAACAAGGGAAGGTACCATGATGAGAGTAAACATGGGGAAGGTATCAAAGGAAGTCAACAAGGTACCATTAGTAGCAAACAAGGGGGAAGGTATCAAAGGAAGTCAACAAGGTACTATTAGTAGCAAACAAGGGGGAAGTACCATGATGGGAGTAAACAGGGTGTAGGTACCATGATGGGAGTAAACAGGGTGTAGGTACAGTACCATGAGGGAAGTAAACAAGTGAAAGGTACCATGTGGAAGATAAAAAAAGAATGGTATATACCACGCAGAAAGTGAACATGGTACCATCATCAGGCGAGCCAGGCAAGTGGAAGAGACTAGAAAGGTACTTTAAAGTGGGCCAGCTTGTAAGACTGGCACTGCTATCCTCTTAATAGGAAGCTCTTGATTATACTGGCAAAGTAAGTAACAATAAGTAGGTGATTGTTTACACTCTGCCTTTACTAGTTATTTGATGATGGTTTTTGAATGGGCAGTATTAAGCTATTTATAGAGGTGCGAGACGATAGTTTTCAAGGTAAGGTGGAGAAACTGCTAAGAAAATGTGGCTATTGAGTACTTGGAAGGGATGTGGGTACAAGCAGCTGGGGTATGAGGATGGAGAATTGTGCCCAACCACTTGGGATCATGCTGACCCAGTTAAAAAGCAAGGCTCTACTGACCAATGCAAGTGGTTGGTTTGATGGTTCTCAAATTGGTTGCACTAGTGTTGTCATTTATAATTAATGGATTGCTATTATAATAGAATTTTGGTGTCAGTGAATTTAATAGCTGTTATATTAATAAAATATTATCCCCTCTTTATTTGGAAAAAATACAGTATCCTCGCACAAATTTTAATACAGTGCAGTTTAAAATTTATACCACTTTTGACATAGTCTTCTGGTAATATTTTTTTCATAAAACAAAATTCATTAAAATTGAAAAAACTATCTTTTAGCTACTGTATTAATTCCTTTAATGGCCTTTAAATTTTGAAGATTGTATACCAAAGTTGGCATTTGTTTAAATGATTTAATTTATCTTGCAACAGCCAGAGTAGTATACAGTATTATATTGTACATTTTCTTCTAGCTAGAAGCTTGCTTTATTTTCTGTTACATGTAAGTTCGAGATAAATATACCGTTTAAGATACCATTGTTGTTGTTGGTATGAAGGGCAGTGATGGGAGTACAGCAAATGTTTTTTACTCGTAACAAATGTTATTTTGGGATGCTAAGTGAATTCACTCGAGATTCCACGTTCAACTTTTATGCACTGCGAACCTCTGACAACTGCCCAGATGTTTGCGACATGTGGTGCTTATATTGCCACAAGATCATGGGTGTGTTGATGGATTTTCTAGCATTTTCCAACTTGCACCTCAAGTATTGAGCAGGGTTCCAGAGCCAGCTTGGCCAAGAGGTGGTCCATCTAATTACCTAAAGCCACCTAATGCTATCCAGAGCCTCCTAACATTACTTAACTAATGAAGAAATATGGCATATTTATACGCTATAATGTTGGTGCTGAATGTATAACATAAAAAAATACTTTTGCTTTGAAATATCATTATTTTATAACAACACTAGGTGGCAGGTGATGCCATAGGAAGTCGACGATCCAAGTGACATATTGTACGTGGCTTTGGGTAATTAGATGGACCCAATTTTGGTATAAAATTGTATTATTTCAGAATAAGTGTTTTTAATGATCTGCATTCAGCACCAACATTATAGTGGGTAAATGTCATATTTCTTTATTAGTTACGTAATGCTAAGGCTTTTGGTAATTAGACGAACCCCGGAGAGGAGCTGGGATCCAGCGGGCCTTACTGCAGGCTCCTGTGTTTCCACTAGACATGGAGGCCACCTGGCTTGCTCGCTCTCTCTGTTAGGGTTGTGTTACCCTGTGCATGGTGTGGGTTGCCGGAGTCTGCCCTGCTGTGGGTATTTGGATGTCGCCAGGTGGTCAGTAATGACGGACCCCCAGGCGGCTTTCTTTTGCTGTCTGGTTTTTTCATATTTGGAATCTGGTTCGGTTAGGTGTATACATCAAAGTCTTGACATTGATGTACCTTTAAATCAACACCAACAACAATAATTTACTCAAAATAGGTAAGATTAGAAATATACCTTGTTTTACTGACTTATCCTCATATTTCTCTCCCACTCAGGATGAATGAAGAGTTCAGCAATGTGAATTTGTCAGATCTCCGTAAAATTGCAACTTTGGGTGTTGGTGGTTTCGGCCGAGTGGAACTGGTACAGATTGCGGGAGACGCCAGTCGATCCTTTGCACTAAAACAAATGAAGAAGAGCCAGGCATGTTTTAGCATATTTTATCTTTTTTAGTGTCCAAGAGAGATGCTTGATTGAAACACTAACATCTTGATTAACAACACTAACATCAGCTGCAAGGTTGGTGTGTAGTTACAATATTTGTAGGCTTTTCAAAGTCCATAATTTTGCTCGGAATTTTGGGCTAGTATTTATGCCAAGGAGATGAAGATAAAAATTAAAACAATAATATTAATCAATTGATTCAGTATTTTTTTAGCTTTTAAATAATTATACATAGGGTATTTATTAAGAGTTTTTAGAATATTCATAATAATAATAGGTATTTAAAGCTAGCAGATACTGGAACTGTATGTACAAGTTTTTCAGTTTTGGTGTAAATGGAAATTATATCAAATTGTAAGAGGTGATAAAACAGCATTAACAATAATATAATTGTATGAAAGTAGTACTCATGATAAATAATGACAAAGATGATATTTATTCAGGTAATATTAGATAATATCTAATACAATCTGGAGGTAAAAGTAAAGAAAGAGATGAGTAGTCAAGTAAATTTACAGCCCCAGTCAGTGCAGGTGTTAGTGTGTGTGTGTGTGTAAACTACAAATGTGTGATAAGAGAATGCTAGTGCAGAGGAAGAGAGGTTGTTAATTAAGGCAATAGTATAGAATACTGTATGCAGTACTGTTTATGTAATATATATGTTTTTTTTTTTTTTACTGAGTATTGAGTGTTGGATAACTCTTTCATTTAGGAGGCTATTTTATTTACTTTGTGTTTATTTGCATGGGAGTTTCTCATAGGTTGAGTTAAAGTAAACTTGCTCACTCACTCGCTCACTCTCACGAGTGAGTGAGTAATTACCGGAGTGATTGAGTGTGAGAGAGATTGAGAAAGTATACTTTTTTCCCCTGAGGGATATGTCCATTAGTTCTGTTGCATCGCTCTTGATAGTTTGTCATCCGAGTTAGTACAGTACTACAGTTCAGGATCTTGTACATGTAGAGACATACAGGAGAATTTATGCAACCTTGGTGTACTGTATATACTTAGTATGTTTAGAAATTTGAAACAATACTGTTTGGTGAGAGAAATATTTAAAATTCTTATAATGGTTTGTCTTTTCCTGGGCAATGATGGATTTCAGGTAGGTAGGTGAACCCTGCCATAAATCCCATTAATATCATACTGTATAGATAAGTTAGTAATGTAGCATGAGCTGCAAGTGGAAGGGACATATTATAGGATCTTTGATGGCATACTGAAAGCTTTGGGTACTTATTTTAGTTTTTATTACATAAGAATGTTGAAATAAGTTTTATCAGTAAGAGGCCAGAAATTGTATATCTTTCTCTCAAAGGGCAAGGTATGATTTCCTGGGAACATTTCATATTGATTTTTTTTAAGTTTAAGTTTGAAAGGGCTAAACTGGCTGTAGTGATTGATATGACAGGGGGGAAAAAAATTGCTAGGGATATTTGGAGAGATTGATATGATTCCAAGATGTGAGAATCATTATCATTGACAGTGTGAAGGGTAATATGGGGCTGGGCTCCAAGAATGATGTAATGGGTATACTGTACATGGTGTGTCAGATATAAATTATAAAGGCTATAAATGGAAAGACACTTGCATTGACAGAAAGATGTGCACAGTACTACTAAAGCATATTTTAAACATAATAATATTTAGTACTGTACATAAGTATACATGGTATTGTGCAAATGCTGAAAGGTGTTGAAAAGAGCGTACAGTAATTGATTATGGTTCGTGCAGGGTACGTGTATGGTGATGCATGTACAGTATATGCTGCATATATTGTATGTAGTGATGCAGGTACAGTATATGCTGCATATATTGTATATAGTGATCCAGGTACAGTATATGCTGTGTGTATGTGTATGTATGTATATGTATGTGTATGTATGTGTATGTATGTGTATGTATGTATGTGTATGTATGTGTATGTGTATGTATGTGTATGTATGTATGTATATATATATATATATATATATATATATATATATATATATATATATATATATATATATATATATATATATATATATATATATATATATATATATATATATATATATATATATATATATATATATATATATATATATATATATATATATATATATATATATATATATATATATATATATATATATATATATATATATATATATATAATATGAATGACAATGTTAGACCACGGAGGAAAAATGAAACAGAAAATTTCCTTAAGTACTTTCGTATATTAAATACATCTTCAGAAGGTGACCTTCTGAAGATGTATTTAATATACGAAAGTACTTAAGGAAATTTCCCGTTTCATTTTTCCTCCGTGGTCTGACATTGTCACATTCTTAATCACGTGTTTATTTTCGTGATATACACACACACACACACACACATATATATATATATATATATATATATATATATATATATATATATATATATATATATATATATATATATATATATATATATATATATATATATATATATATATATATATATATATATATATATATATATATATATATATATATATATATATATATATATATATATATATATATATATATATATATATATATATATATATATATATATATATATATATATATATATATATATATATATATATATATATATATATATATATATATATATATATATATATATATATATATATATATATATATATATATATATATATATATATATATATATATATATATATATATATATATATATATATATATATATATATATATATATATATATATATATATATATATATATATATATATATATGTATATATATATATATATATATATATATATATATATATATATATATATATATATACACAGTGTATATATATGTATATGTATATATATAATATAATATTTTTTTTTTTATTATTATTATACTGTATAATATAGTGATGCCGTATACATTCAATTTGGTTATATAGGCAGTATGTGATATTTCTATGCTTTAGTATATCGGCTAATAATTTGTTCCCCCCTTTTAGATTGTTGAGACTCGACAGCAGCAACACATCATGTCTGAAAAAGATATCATGATGGAAGCTAACTGCGATTTCATTGTGAAATTGTTCAAGACCTTTAAGGACCGCAAGTACCTATATATGCTGATGGAGTCTTGCCTTGGAGGAGAACTCTGGACAATATTGAGGTAAGAAGAGATGATGTTTCTCTCAAATATGCACCCCCCCTCATAAAAAGTATGTTTTGTATTTAGATATTGATGTTAACCTCGAGTAAGAAAAATAAAGCATGTCATTGTCCACGTGTGTGAATGTTCTTGAACAAATGTAACACGGTGATTACACTACTTCCAAGTAGGCGCCTGTGCGGAATGGCCCAGTCTATATTATATATAACAGAGGCCTAACAGCTGAGTGGACAGTGCTCGGGATTCGTAGTCCTAAGTGTCCAGGTTCGATCCTCAGTGGAGGCAGAAACAAATGGGCAGTTTCTTTCACCCTGATGCTCCTATTCACCTAACAGTCAAAAGGTACCTTGGGAGTTACAGCTGCTAAGGGCTGCTTCCTTGGGATGTGCAACAAAAAGGAGGCATGGTCAAGAACCTGGCCGCGGGGACACTAAGCTCCGAAATCACGTCAAGATAACCTCAAGATAAGATGATAACATGTAAATTTCAAGAGCAAAAAATATACCATTATAATTATTATAAAATGGGAAGTGTATGACTGAATTCAGAAATACTGTCTGTGCATTTTAATTTGCATACTTATCTTAGACTTTAAAAAGTTAACAGTAAAATAAGAGGAGATAAAATTAATAACTTTGATTCATAATGAAAACCTTCCCTGTTATATTTTTGTTAATAAAAACGACTGTATATAAAATGGTATGATTTAAGAGCCAAGCCCCTACTATGGTTTTGTAAGTCAATGTTATATATACTGTACACTTGTTTTTGGTAAAAGTATTAAATGTAAAAGGTAATTATCAGGAGAAAGAGCTAAGCCATTTGGACTATATATTTATATTGATGTAAAAATAGAACCTTAAATGCAGAATTTAATACAGCTCGTTAAAAATTTAATATTGTCATGAGATTTATTTATTCATTGTACAGTATTACGGTTGTTTGAGTATTTTAAAATAACAATGTGTGCCGTTTCATCTGACTAGAAATTTGTCCAGAATGCTGTCTTGATAAATGATGCTTTGTCAAACATTGACCAGATTTAAAAAAATTTGCAGGCAAATGCAAACAAAGGTTAAAGTTGTTCTTTTAGAAGAGAGAGATGATTAATAAGATACAAAAATAAAACATTTTCTAGGTTGTTTAAAGTAACTTTACTGTGTAACTTCACAATCACACTCAAAAGTGGGATGTGTGTGATAGGGATCTAAGTCTTGAAGTAGAATGAAATATGTTGGAAGTCTCTTCTCTAATGCAGTATGGGTGTGAAGCATGAGTACCTGACATAAGTACTGTATAGTGATAGTGCAGTGCAGTGAAAATATATTTGTTGAAAGTATGATGTAAAACAGGAAATGAGCGAGTGGAAAACGTTAAATTTAGGCAAGGGCGGAGAAAGACATGCATTGTGAAAGTAAATGATGAATGGGGTTGTACGATATTGCTAATTTTTGTGCTAGTGTGTGTATTGGCATAGAGAGAGTACTTGACTCTTAACAGGGAGGAGTGCAAGGAGTAGAGTAGAGTATTGGCCAAGGTCAGAAAACAGTTTTGTGAAGATATTATTGGTGTCTGCCTGAGGAATCCTTATACTTATCACCCTTTTTAACATTTGGAAGCAGTGCATTAATTTAATTTATGTTTTAAATTACTATATTTTGAACAGTCATAAAAATTAGAATATTTAGTAAGAATTTAATTTTATAATTTTAATTTTTTTTCTGTATAACAAGTACATAATATATCATTTGTACATATTTTCAATGTATCTAAATTGTGTAACTTACTTAACTAATTAACTTACATGATGCTGACACTGCAGCTTATATTATTCCTTACTTTAACAAGCAGTTATGATGCATAATACTGTATTGGCTCCCTTTGCAACTGGTCACCTCTTCATAAATATGCTTGTGATGATTAGTCAGACACCAATGTTTGCTGACTTTCATTTCCAATTTCTTAACCCATAAGGAGACAGGAGCGTCCTATGATGTGTGGACTCGGCTTTGTATCTCTTCAAAGGTAAAATGCGGTTGAAACTATGTGTGCAGTGTAACCCTTATAGCAACCTTAAAATTTTGTGCCAGTTTTACCGTCCATACAGTACATGTCGTTGTGTCTTTTGCTGTCATTACACTGAAATTAACAGAGTTGCCTTTTTTTTTTTTTTACAATGGATCAATAATTAATAGAAAATCTTTATTCTGTTCTGTCTCTGACTAAAAGAAAAATTATACAATTTTGAATTAATAGTGGCTGTGAAAGTTGTGTACACAAAGCATTTATTAACTTGTTAGTATACTAAGAACATAAAACAATATGAAGTAACAATGATTTAGATTAGCTTGCAAAACAATTGCAATTACAGGGTATATTGTATCTTAGTTTATGCATTATCTTTTTCTTACTTTGATATACAGTAGTTTAAAACTACACTGATATCCTGATACAGCATACTTCTCGATCATTGTTGGGGAGAGGAAGCCAGTTACGCATGTCGAGGTCCCTCTAGCTAAGACCTAGGCGGCTCACACTGCCAATCGTCCAGTTACTGGCTAATCCAAATGATGCAAAATTTTCCAGTTAGTGGGTGGGGAAATCATCATTCTATACGAAGCTGTCCGGTTATTGTGGTAGCATCATCCTTTCCAAGACTCCAGTTGATAAATTTTGGTCTTGGAAATTGTTAAATTAATATGAGGGTACAGTGGTACCTAGGAATACGAGTTTTTCGGAATACAAGCAGGATTTGCTCGGAAAATGTGCCTCGGAAGGCGAGTGTGTTGATACGCGTACAGGCTGACCTAGCGCATGGTGGTAGTGATCGTCGCCCCTCACCCCTCAGTTTACCAGTGCCTCGCGCCCAGTGACTATCCCGCGTCAATTCTTCACCAGGAATGTCAGTGTTTTGTTGGATTTTTTATAATTTTACCATAAAAGTTGTTATATATCTCGCCATGGGTCCCAAGAAAGCCAGTGGTAAGGATCAAGGCAAGAAAGCGCATGTGAGGATGACAATAGAGGAAAAACAGAGATCATTTGGAAGCATGAAAATGGTACACATGTTGTTGAACTTTGTAGGCAGTACAACAAAGCCACGTCAACAATATGCACTATACTTAGCAAGAAAAAGGACATTGAGTGCTAAAATGGCAAAAGGTGCAAGAACAATCACGAAACAAAGACCACAAATACTTGAAGTGGAAAAGTTATTAATTTGGATACACAACAAGGAGTTAGCAGGTGATAGTGTTTCGGAGGCCATCGTTTGTGAGAAAGCCAGGGTATTGCACAAAGACCTTGTAAAGAAAACCCCTGGAACGAGTGCAGATTCGATAGACTTTAAGGCAAGCAGGGGATGGTTTGAAAAATTGAGATAAAGAAGTGGTATCCATAGTGTTGCGAGGCATATGGGAGGCAGCCAGCTAAGACAAACCAGCAACTGAATGATTTATTGAAGAATTTAAAGAGTTTGCAGAGGCTGAGGGATACTTACCGTAACAAGTTTTTAATTGTGATGAAACGGGACTGTTCTGGAAAATATTGCCTAAGAGGACATACAATACCAAGGAGGAAAAATCCTTGCCCAGACACAAGCCTATAAAAGATAGGTTTACACTTGTGCTGTGTTCAAATGCGAGTGGCGATTTGAAAATTAAACCCTTGCTAGTGTATCATTCTGAAAATCCAAAGGTTTTCAAACGGTATAAAGTGCAGAAACGCCAAATGTGTGTGATGTGGAAGGATAACAAAAGGGCATAGGTGACTAGGATTTTTTTTTCAGAGTGGGTGAATGAAGTGGTGTGCCTTGCCATAGAAAAATATCTGCAGGAGAAACATTTGCCACTCAAGGCCCTGCTTCTCGACAATGCTCCTGCTCATCCTCCAGGCTTGGAAGATGAATTGATGCACAGATACAGTAAATTTCTCACAATAAAGTTCCTTCATCCTAACACCACTCTAATTCAGCCTATGGACCAGAAAATCATAGCGAATTTTAAGAAACTTTATGAAAGGACACTTTTCCGGAAATGTTTTGAAGTGACTGAAACCAGAAACCTCACTCTCAAAGAGTTCTGGAAAGACCATTTTAACATTTGTAGTTCTTTAAAACTCTTTGACAAAGCCTGGCAAGAAGTGACTCAAAGAACCCTGATCTCTGGCTGGAGGAAAGTGTGGCCTGAATGTGTGACAGAACTAGACTTTGAGGGGTTTGAGCCTGTAAATGATGCGCCTATTGTTGAGGAAATTGTTACTCTGGGCCGGCAAATGGTCTTGGAATTGGATGATGGTGATGTGGAGGAGTTGGTGGAAGAACACAACGAAGAACTGAACACCGAAGAACTCCAAGCCCTTCAAAAGGAACAGCAAGAAGACCCAGCTGAGGATGTTTCTCCAGTGGAGGAAGATGAGGCAGTACAGAATGTCCCTTCTGCAGAAATTAAGAAGTGGTGTTAGATGTGGGAAGAGATGCAAATTTTTATTGAAAAGACTCACCCAGAGAAAGCTGTAGTAGGCTGTTGCCTTAATCTTTTCAATGACAATGTGATGCCTTACTACAGAGACAGCTTGCGAAGAAGGGAAAAACAAGCTTCCATTGACAGATTTGTTGTGAGAAAATAGAGCAGTGAGCCACAACAAGGACCTAGTGGTATGCAGGCAAAATGTGCCAGGGAGTGCACACCAGAAAGGTCCTCACTGCCTGATGTTATAATGGAAGGGGACTCCCCTCCCAAACAGTAACACCTCTCCTCCTCCCCCCTCCTCACCATCTTCCATACGCCTACAGCATTCATCAGCAAGGGTAAGTAATAACTTGAACATAGTTTTGTAGGTTTATTTAGATGAATTAGGTATAAAATTTAGTTTGAAGTGAGGTTTTTTGGGTAGTCAGAAACAGATTAATTCATTTCCCATTATTTCTTATGGGGAAATTAGCTTCGGATTACGAGTTTTCGCAATACGAGCTGTCTCCAGGAACGAATTAAACTCTTAAACTGAGGTACCACTGTATAATTCTTTGTGTGAGTACTTGAATACCATTCTCTGCCAGAGTGCGTGGATACCCCTGTAAGTGAGGTGGCTGGCAGAAGTGTTTAGTATTGCACTAGAACAGTTTCTAATTAAAAAAATGTTAAATAATAATAAAAAAAAAAATTTAAGTTCAATGTTGAGAACAAACTGATGGTAGTGGTGAAGTGAAAAAAAGAACTAAATATTGAGATGCTTGGAGAATTGGAATTCTTTGCAATCCAGAAAAGGTCTGGTTCCAATTTGTCAATTTGATTGAGGACACATTGTATATTCTCTACATACTTTTTGTTAGTCTCGCGATTCTTGTTTCTGAGAAAGTTGGTGACCTCGGTTAGATGTTGAGTAAAGATGTCCTAAGCTGCACAACACATTTTATATGCTATGGTGTCTGCAGATATCTTAAATTTTAATATTATATATAATTATTTTAAATTGAGTAACTAGCATGTAAATTCCAGTACAGATAATTAACTAACATATTTGATGCCAATCCTGCATATTATAATACATCATATTTTAACAAATAATTATGTTGATTAATACTGTATTAGTTACCTCTGCTGCTGGTCACTTCATAATAAATTTATTTGATAAATCAGAAACGACCATTGTTTTCAATTTTCAATTTCTTAACCCATGAGGAAACGGAAAATGTGTTTGTTGTCTGGACTCAAATTGGTATCTCTCAAATGGTAAAATGATGATGAACTTGTGTGTGCAGTGCATTGCAACCCTTATACCAACCTAATTATCTACTAATTTTACTGTCCACACAGAAACTGTCGTCGTGTCTTTTGTGTGGTTTTGTGTAGAGATGTACTGTATAGAATAGTTACATGCAGAGGGAGAGTGCCTAGGCTGTCTCCAGTCCTGAATGACTTCAGATCATCAATTTATCCTCATTCTTCACTTTCTCAAAGCTTACATTCCCTGTCCAATTTTCCTAATGACCAATGTTTTCTAAGGTTCACCAGGAGGCTTCGAGTCAGTCTCGACACATTTCCCTGAATGATATTGTTTATTTAGGCAAAAGTATATACATAAAAAATCCAGCATTGAATAATGAAATGCCAATTTCTGGGTGAGCCCTGGTGGCTCCCTAAAACTGCTGATATAGTTCCAAACTACAAGTTGCCATTAGCCTCGGAGTTCTATTTGGCCTATTGGGGACCACGAGCCAGAACCTGGCCCCCTTTAGAGTGGGGCTCTTTATGATGCCACTTATCTAGCAGTGGCACTTAAAATTTTTGTATGAATTTATTCATGTCTGCCACCACCGAGGAAGGCACCCAGAAAGTTCGCAAAACAAAACAGACCACTGCTGATTATAAATGAGACCACAGTCTCAAGAACTGCCAAAAGAACTTTAGCAATGTAAACAAACTTACCAAAAATTCACAAAACTAGCACGAGCTCATTCTCCCCACATCGCCCCTTGTTTGGGGAGGAGGAGAGGGGCAGCCTGGGTCTGCTGGCTGCTCCACCCTCAATTCTATTAATGATGGAAACAATCCCCCCGATGTCTAGGGTAGGGATGGAGGGAGGGAGTCAAGAAAACAGGGCTCATCCAGAATTTGTCATTTCATTATATTCAATGCTGGTTTTCTGGGGACACCCCCCCCCCCACTCGTAGCCTCCTGAAGCGCGCTCTACCCCATGGAGAAGGAAACAGACATGCACTTCCTAGGGAAGAGGAACCACTGCAGGTACAATGATGGCGTAGAGACATTTGGCTGCAACACACAATTCAAAACCACTCAAAGGTGTCAAGGACTGGGAACATTGACAAGATACTTAGTTGTCGGAATCCTGTTTGACCGCCATCTCCCCATGCTCAATCAAATATATCCAAACCTAAGAAAACCATTTACAGAGTACAGGCAAAGTAAAACAAACCATGTAATTTGACTAAAAAGAGAAATGATGAAAAAAGTGAACCAGTAATTTGTACATTGACAACAAACTATGCAATACTAACCAAAGGTATA